AGTGAGTCGCTTTGGTAGTGCAGCCAGCCTGAAGAGCGTACCACTAGGTGGCGCTGAAGATCCGGCTGTAGAGGAGAATTGTCGATAAACAGCACAAGCCTATTTCCCTCTGGGTTCCTCTATTAGCCAGCGCCAGCTTACTGTTTGCTTTATTGTCAGGGATCTCGGGGATGTCGTGGCTTGAGTGTGATTCAAACAGTCACTCTGCAGTCTTCAGCAGTTTGTAAAGGGGGTCTGGGGCCTGGAAATAGTCTCTCCAAGGCCTTATGAAAAGATCATTAATGACCCTTCCTTTCTGCCTCCTCCCTCCGCCTTCCCCCAGTCCCCAAGTCTGGCGGCCTAGCCTGTGTTTCTTCAACCATTCATTCAGGCATCTATTGCATGCTCTTATAGATCAGGCATGCAGCTAGGAGTGCCGTGGTTTGAGACACGCATAACACTAGCATTTCTTTCTTGATCTGCCATCAGTACTGAACCCAGGTACCACGCATTAGGGTGACTGCTCAGACCCTGCACTTAGGGGATCAGGCTGCTGGCAGCTGAGCTGTATTTCAAGGAGGGGATAGAGTGGATATATTGTGGTTCTTATATTTACAACCAGCCCAGAACCCCTCCCTCCACCAGAACACACCATCTACACAAGGGCCTATGGCCTCCGTTCATCCTCCCATATCCATCTTCCATTCTCCACCTTTTCTCTCTCACATAGCACTTGATACTTATTTTAATTGAACTCTAAGGCAATGTAGTCTTTGGTAATTTTTTTTTAAGTAAAAAGGCTGTTGGGAATACACTTATAAATTGGAATATTACTCAGCAATGAACAGAAATGAGCTATCAAGCTATCAATTAAAAGGCATGGAGGTGGCCGGATGTGGTGGCTCACGCCTGTAATCCCAGCTCTTTGGGAGGCTGAGATGGGCAGATCACTTGAGGTCAGGAGTTCGAGACAAGCCTGGCCAATATGGTGAAACCCTCATTTCTACTAAAAATGCAAAATTAGCTGGGTGTGGTGGTGTGCACCTGTAATCCCAGCTACTTGGGAGGCTGAGGCAGAAGAATCACTCGAACCCAGGAAGCTGAGATTGCAGCCTGTGTGACAGGGCAAGACTCTATCTAAAAAAAAAAAAAATGCAGAAAAGAAAAGACATGGAAGAAACTGAAATGCATATTGCCAAGTGAAGGAAGCCAATCTGAAAAGGCTACATGCGTATAGTATGATTCCAACTACATGACATCAGGGAATGACAAGGCTATGCAGAGAGTAAAACAATCAGAGGTTGCCAGGGGTTCAGGGGGAGGGAGGAGGATATAAATAGGCGGAACACAGGGAATTCATAGGGCAGTGAAACTATTCTGTGTAATACCGTCATGGTGGATATGTGTCATACATTTGCCAAAACACACAGAATGTACAGCACAAAAATAAACCCTAATGCTGGCCAGGAGCAGTGGCTCACGCCTGTAACCCCAACACTTTCAGAGGGTGAGGTAGGTGGATCACCTGAGGTCGGGAGTTCGAGACCAGCCTGACCAACATGGAGAAACCCCATCTCTACTAAAAATATGTAATTAGCTGGGCATGGTGGTGCATGCCTGTAATCCCAGCTACTTGGGAGGCTGAGGTGGGAGAATCACTTGAACCCGGGAGGGGGAGGTTGTGGTGAGCCGAGATCGTGCCATTGCACTTCAGCCTGGGCAACAAGAGTGAAACTCCCCCTCAAAACAAACAAACAAACACCCCAATGTAGACTATGGATGTTAGTTAATAAGGATATAACAACATTGGGTCTACAATTGTAACAAATTGATGCAAGGAGTTAATAATAGGGGATACAGGGGAAGAGGGTAGAGAGTATATACGGACCCTACTTTCTGCTTAATTTTTCTGTAAACCAGAGAAGTCTATTAATTTTTAGAAAAGCCTGCGGGGAAAGGCCTTGTATTTCCATGGTGCTTTACGGTTTTCAAATTACTCCATTTGATTCTCACAAGAACACTGTAAGATGGAGAAGACTAGAACTGTCCTGAGTTGACAGACTGGTCATTGAGGTCAAAGGAATCGAGTGACTTCTGGAGGCCACACAGCTAATGGCAGCAAGGCGATGACTTGAACACAGGTCTTCTGGTTCTGGTTCCAGGTTCAGAGCTCTTTTCTCTATATTCTAAACGCCTGCAAGCAGGGGAAATGGTGTCAGTCCTCTACTCCCTCCGGTGACTACTGTTTCTTTCCTAGGGTTTCAGGTGGGCTCAATTTCGTAGAGGCATACAACATAAAGTATAACTCAAGACTTCACACTAAGGCTGACGTGATTTAATGCAAGGATCTCATGCAGAAAACAGCATCTTCCATGTACTTTCTTCTCCCTACACTACTATCCATTCTTGCCTCCAGTATCTTTTGGGATTTTAGCTTTCTCTACACTTTCAGAATAATCCATTACAGCAAGAATAAAAGCAGAGAGATCAGCTAGAAGAGGCTTGGGGCACTTTTATAGAACCTCATACTGAGAATGTGTGATTGTTCTCCTAAGAACCACAGTGGCTTGTGATGGGATCTGGGCTTTCTAAAAGGCGTCATCCCAGGGCAAATCATTGTCAGCTCTGAGACGGCAAAAAGCAAGTCTTCAACAGTGACACCTTGGGATAATAAGAATCAATAACCGTAGAAGCCTGGAGACCCTATTTTTCTCTTTTGGGGGGTTATGGAGACAATCCTGACTCCTCTGGAGGCTGTATAAGCCTCCAGAAATTTTAACTGTGTAATTAATTCATTCTTTCAACTTCCTTGAGCACTTAATATGTGCCCAACACCAAATATATACTGATGAACAAGACAGATGGGGTCCCTTTCCCCAAAGAGCTTATAGTCTGGGCAGAATGGGGCATGGGGGATAGGAGGGCATGGGGGATGGGGGGCTGATACTAAATATGAAAGTAATACATGAATATATATTGCAAATTATAGTCTCTTCAACATGGTGGAGGAGGAGAATGAAAGTTCCCATGAGAGGCACCTGCTTTCAGTGAATTCGTCGTTTGACTGCTTGTGCAATCGAATAGAAAAATAAAAGAGACTGTGATCATGTTTGCACCCTGAGGTTGGGGAGCAGTTCATGAAAACTACACCAAGGAGTGTGGAGTCTGGAAAGACACATTTTGGAAAGGACCGAAGTAGACTGGGAATACCCATATAATGACCAGGGCAAACCAGATGCAATGGGAGGGTCGTCTGACTGTGATTCCATGCGGTAGCTGCCCCTATTGCAGTATGTTCTGGCCAGACTCAGGAAGGTGGATGAAACCTGAGTAAGCAGAGATGTGGTCTGAAAGGGGAAGATGAATCTAGAAAGTGAAGAGATTACTGGAAATGTCTCTGGAAAGCTGAGCTTTTTCTATGAGAAATAGACTGTGGTTTAGAAAGTATAGCAAAGGTAACTTTTTTTTTTTTTTGAGATGGAATCTTGTTCTGTTGCCCAGGCTGGAGTTCAGCGACATGATCTTGGCTCACTGCAACCTCCACCTCCCAGGTTCAAGTGAGTCTCCTGCCTCAGCCTCCTGGGTAGCTGGGATTACAGGCACCCACCACAATGCCTGGATAATTTTTTGTATTTTTTTTAGAGACGGGGTTTCACCACGTTGGCCGGGCTGGTCTTGAACTCCTGACCTCAAGTGATCTGCCTGCCTTGGCCTCCCAAAGTGCTAGGATTATAGGCATGAGCCACTGCTCCCGTCCTATCAAAGGTAACTTATTTTCACGTTACCCACAGTTTTGAGGAAGAGTGGGGAACAGGAGAGATAGAGCCTCTGTCTCCATGGAGTCTATTACATTCTGAGGGGAAAGACAGACATTCTAATGGGGAGCACAGCCCAGTTGAAAATGACCGCTCAGATGAGTTGCTATTTTTTTGACATTGCCCAGCCCACCAGACTTCCACCACTGCTACTGCTGAGAGAGGGCCCTGCACCCTTGTTATGCAGAGTTGTGTTCCCCTAAAAGACACCTTGAAGTCCTAATCCCCCAGTGCCTTATTTATTTGGAAATAGGGTCTCTGCAGCTATAATTATTTAAGATGAGGTCATATGGGGAGAAGGGTGAGCTCCTTTTTTTTTTTCTGAGAGTGAGTCTCGCTCTGTTGCCCAGACTGGAGTGCAGTGGCGCAGTCTCAGCTCACTGCAACCTCCGCCTCCCGGTTCAAGCGATTATCCTGTCTGAGCCTCCCGAGTAGATGGGATTACAGGTGCCCGCCACCACGCCCAGCTAATTTTTTCTATTTTTAGTAGAGACGGAGTTTCACCATGTTGGCCAGGCTGGTCTTGAATTCCTGACCTCGTGATCTGCCGGCCTCAGCCTCCCGAAGTGCTGGGATTACACTTGTGAGCACTGCAACTGGCAAGGGTGAGCTCTTAATCTGATCTGACTGGTGTCTTTTTAGGAGGTGGGGAGAAAGACACATGGGCAAGAGAATACTGTGCGGAAATACAGACACATGAGGGGAGGATGCCTGGTGACTATGGAGGCAGAAATGGGAGTGAAACATTGACCAGCCGAGAAATGCCAAGCGCTGCCAGCAAACACCAGATGCTTGATGGGGCCGGGGATTCTCCTGCGCAGGTTTCAGAGGGAGCCCGGCCTTGCAGACACCTTGATTCCTGACTTCCAGCCTCCAGAATGGAGAGAGAATAAAATTTGGTTCTTTTAAGACCCCAGATTTTGTACTTTGTTACGATGGCCCTAGGAAACTAGAACAGCTCTCATCTCTTGCCCTAAGTGAAATTATCCATCTACATTATTTAAAAAACCATCTGCTTGCTGCGAATTCCCAAGTAATACAGTAGAGCTGCATTAGATGAACAGTGATTCAACTCTACTCACTTGATGGAAACAAAAGTGCTATAAAAAGAGAAAATGGACAAAAAAAAAAAAAAAAAAAAACTACTTTTTCCATAGTTCCATTTCTACAAACCAGACTTTATTTTTTTGGTTTTGGGTTTTTTCTTTTTCTTTTTTTTTTAAGATGGAGTTTTGCTCTTGTTGCCCAGGCTGGAGTGTAATGGCGAGATCTCTGCTTACCGCTACCTCTGCCTCGGGGTTTCAAGGGATCCTCCTGAGTAGCTGGAATTACAGGCATGCACCACCACACCTACCTAATTTTTGTATTTTTAGTAGAGATGGAATTTCTTCATGTTGGTTAGGCTGGTCTCAAACTCCTGACCTCGGGTGACCTGCCCGCCTTGGCCTCCCAAAGTGCGAGATTACAGGCGTGAGCCTCCACGCCTGGCCCAAACCAGACTGGGACTTCGCTTAAACTGGAGAAGATATTGGAGAGGAGGGGAGATGGTAGGAGTTGTGGCCACACATCAGGGAGAAAAACAAATTAACTCCTAGCCTTTGAGCTTCCAAAGACTCAGGTTCACAGCTCTAAGGGCTTTTGAAGGATTTTTTTTTTTTTTGAGATGGAGTTTTGCTCTTGTTACCCAGGCTGGAGTGCAATGGCGCGATCTCAGCTCACCGCAACCTCCATCTCCTGGGTTCAAGGAATTATCCTGCCTCAGCCTCCCGAGTAGCTGGGACTACAGGCATGTGCCACCATGCCCAGCTAATTTTTGTATTTTTTAGTAGAGACGGGGTTTCACCATGTTGACCAGGATGATCTCGATCTCTTGACCTCATGATCCACCTGCCTCGGCCTCCCAAAGTGCTGGAATTATAGGCATGAGCCACTGTGCCCGGCTGAAGGATGATTTTTAATTGTTTATGCTTTGACCTTACATATTGACTTTACAAATTAACCCTGACGTTAGATGAGATTCTACTACATTTCTAGCCAACACCTCATCTTTCACTCCGGCTTGTATAACTGGCTGCTGAACACGTCTACTTGGATGTCTCACACACATCTCAAACAAACATGTTCAAAACTAAATTCTGGGTTTTCCTCCCTAACTAGTTTATCCCATTTCCATCACCACCATGCTAGTCCAAGGGATTACACTTCTCTCCTGGAAGTTTTTGGAAAGAGCCCAGTTGCCATCCCTGCCCTCACATTTGCTTCCAACAGTCTGTTCTCACTTAAGAGAGTTCAATCATAGCTACCCTGCTTAAAATCCTCAAAACATCTTCCCAATGCCCTTACAATCCTTACCACAGCCACAAGCCCCTGTGCAATCTAGCCCCTGCCTACTTTCCCACTTTGTCCTGGGTTACTCTCTCTCTCACTGCATTCCAACCATCCTGGCTTCGTTCTTTCTTTTCAAACATGCCAAACTCTTTCCCACTGAATTCCCTGTCCCGGCAGAGGGAACAGTGTGTGTGAACGCGTTTCCATGGCTGGCTCCTTCTCTGTCTCGGGTTTTAACTTAGAACTCATCTCCTTGGAGACGCCTTTCCTAACTCCCTAGTCTACAGCAGGAGCTCCTCCACTTGTCTCTCATGGAACTCTGTTCTTTCCTTTAAGCACTTACTATAATTTGCAATATACATTCTCATGCATAAGTTTCATGTTTGGTATCAGTCCCCTCATCTCCATGCCCCATCCTGCCCAGACTATAAGCCCTTTGGGGACAGGGACCCTGTCTGACTTGTTCACCAGTATATATTTGATGTTGGGCACATATTAAATGGTCAAGAAAATTGAAGGACTGAATGAATTATACAGTTAAAATTTCACAATTGTGGTAAGTCCTGGAAAGGACAAATAAGGGTTGTTTGCTCTGAGAACAAATATTAACACCACATGACTGAGGATGGGATTATTGAAGGGCTGGTCTAGGGAAGAGATGCTTAAGGTGAGACCCAAAGGACTGGTATCAGGTAGAAAGCCTTCCAGACTCGGAGGAGCAGTGTGTGCAAGGGCCCTGAGGTGGAAAGGAGCACAGGATGTTCTAGGATCTGAAAGGTAGAACTCAAAGCAAGAAGGAGAAAGACGCTAGAAGAGGCCGATGGGGCAGGCTGGAAGCAGACCAGGCAAGGCCTCAGGAGACGTGGAACAGTTTGGAGTAATGGGAGGCCATTTTAAGTACAGGAATGATTCCACCAAATTTGTGTAAGATCAGTCTGGCTGCTGGGTGGGGACTTTCTAAGGTGGGTTGCAGTGGGATGGTGAGGAGTAAGGATGGCTATGGAATGACAGAGGGTCCATAGGAGGCAATGTGAGAAATGTGGGTTGAACTAGGGTGAGGGAAGCAGAGGTGAACAGGCAATTTCCAAAGATATTTAGAAAGATACACAAAGACGAAAAAGACTAGGTCCTTGTCCTCAAAAGACTTACTTTTTCTGAGCATGGAAAGACACATAGAAAGAGGAATTGTAGGCCGGTCGGGGTGGCTCACACCTTTAATCCCAGCACTTTGGGAGGCAAGGTAGATGTATCACAAGGTCAGAAGTTTGAGACCAGCCTGGCTAACACAGTGAAACCCTGTGTCTACTAAAAATACAAAAAAAATTAGCTGGGCGTGTTGGCGCCTACCTGTAATCCCAGCTACTCAGGAGGCTGAGGCAGGAGAATCGCTTGAACTTGGGAGGCGAAGGTTGCAGTGAGCCAAGATCGTGTCACTGCACTCTATCCTGGGTGACAGAGAAAGACTCTTCCTAAAAAAAAAAAAAAAAAAAAAAAGGAATTGTAAAGGGAGGAAGCACAGAGGAAGAGGACAGGATTGCCTGGTATAATAAATCCTGAAAGTATTAAAAAGGGAATTCTGGGAGGAGATACTGGTGCTCTGATTCTCTGACAAAACCCCCATGTAACACAGGAGCCCAACACATATTGGTTTACCACTGGAAATAATCACATTTTGCATTAATAGTTTTGGCCTTTAGCCCATCTTCATGCAGTTTCAGGTCTAATTTTTTTTTGCTACTCGACAGATTGCATTCTTGGTTGCCTTTTAATTGTTGAATTGCTGTTCTTTATCTGCAGTCTCTGACTAGTAACCTTATTATAGCAATTGCCCAAGACTTAAAACTAAACAATGTGCAATAAAAATCCACAATACTGAAAATGCTTAAATTAAATAAAAATCTCCTAACAAGTAGCCAAGCATACTGAAATGGATTGTATGAGTCACCAACTGTATGAATGATTTATTTTAGAAGTTATATCAGCTGAAGAAAATCATATATCAGTCTCATCATTCAATACCCAGGCCAGCCCTAATATTCCCATCCCAGAGCCTCTGAATGAAATAGTCTCATGCAGAGATTATTAATCTATAAATAATATCCTAATGGTCTGTTAGTGTTTATGACTACTGTTTTAAACGTATTTATTAGTGGCTTTAATAGTTGTTTCATGTTTCTTTCTACTAACCCATATATGTTTGCAACTGTGTGTGTGTGTGTGTGTGTGTGTGTGTGTGTGTGTGTGTGTGTGTGTGTGGGTTTATGTTGTAGCCCTCTAAAATAGGCATACTGTGATAGCCAGACTAGAATCTGCTTCTGTTTGCAATACTATTTTAAAGACAAGTAAGAAAAGAAAAAAAAATCTCATAAAATATTAAAGAAAATCCTAATTTTGTTACTTGAGGATGCAGAGTGGCTTTATGAATAACTAGAGAGCCATGTTTTAAATTCTATTCCTCTTTTATCACAACGGGAAACAGGTACAGCACGGGACTAAGAAAAAACTGTCTTTCCTTCCATATTCAACACTTCTGACACCAGATGTGTGGTGTTTTGCTTCCCATGCCAAGCAATTCTGATACTGCCTACTGGGAGTTAGTGCAGACCCCTCATGTTAAGGGCTCAGCCCATGAGACTGCCCTCCACTCAGACGCCAATCACAAGTGGTGGGTCCCCAGGTTATCCACACTTCTGTCTGACCTGGCTACAAATCGGAGGTTCCCACAACTCCCCTCAGGGTTGACAATTTGCTAAAACAGCTCACAGAACTCAGGGAAACACCGAGGTTTGTTGGTTTACCATATAATAAGGGAGACAGAGGAGCAGAAGAAGAGGTACATAGGGTGAGGTGGGGAAGGGTCCTGAGTGCAGTGGATGTCCCCTTAGAGTTGGGGTACACCACCTTCCCAGCATGCTGATATATTCAGCAACCCAGAAGCTCTTTGAACTCCATATGTCAGTGATTTTTATGGAGGTGTCATCACAGAGGCAATAATCAATTATTAACTCAATCTCCAGGTCCTTTTCCCTTTTTAGAGGATAGGGCGTAGGGCTGAAAGTTCCAAGCTTCTAGCCATGGCAGTATCACACACTTCTGGTGACCAGCTCCCACCCAGGGGTCCACCAAGAGTCATGTCATTTGACAAAAGACACTCCTATCACCTAGAACATTTCAAGGAATTCAGGAGCGCTGTGTCAGGAACTGGGGCCAAAGACCAAATATTAGAATAAAAGATGCTCCCTTCAAAAAGATATCAGAGAAGATCAGTTAATTAATCATTTTATCAAAAGGAAATTTGAATTTCAGGAGCTCTGGGGCAGGAACTGGGGATGAAGGCCAAATATATCTTACTCTATCCCAATATCACACATGGCGAGAGATCTGATCAGCCCTTCATGAAGGAGAAGACCCAAATGTCCAATAATCACATGAAAAGTTATTCCACGGCCTTCGTAATTAGAGGAACACATACAGAAATAGAAATGAGGTATCATAACAGAATGGCTATAATTAAAAAGACTGATGCCATCAAGCATTGATGAGGTTGTGGAGCAATGAGAACACTCGTAGATTCCAGGTAGGAATATAATTGGTACAACCACAATCAAAAATTGCTTGACAATCTGTATAAGAGATGAACATGTACACACTCAGTTATTCTACTTGTCAGAATATAGTTGCATTAATTTTCTATCACTGCCATAACAGATTGCCACAAACTTAGTGGCTTAAAAGAATACCAGTTTATTATCCTATAGTTCTGCAGCTCAGAAGTGGGAAGTGGATTTCCTGACTTAAAATCTAGGTGTCAGGAAAGGTGTGTTCCTTCTGGAAACTCTATGAACGAATCCATTTCCTTAACCATTTCAGCTCCTAGAGGCCCACTCACAGTCGCTGTCTGATGGTCCCAAAGCTAGCAAGAGGGGAGTTCTCACGTTATGTCACTGTGACCTCCTCTTCTGTCTCCCTCTTCTACATTTAAGGATCTTTGCGCTTCCCTGTACCTGCCTGGATAATCCAGAGTAATTTTCCTACTCTAATGTCAGCTATTAACAAATTTACTTCCATTTTCTACCTCCATTCCGTCTGCCATGAAATGTAGCATATTCACAGGTTCTAGGGATTAGGACACAGACATCGTTGAGGGATCATTACTTTGCCTACCATGGTAGCCAACAGAAATGCATACACATGTGCTTCAAAAGACACCTCTAAGGTTGCTCAGTGCTGTATAATTTTTGTTGGCCAAAAGGTAGAAAAAGCCTAAATGTACAATCAGGGCTAGAAGAGATTTTTATATATTGTATATTGTGGTGTATGTTCATAAAACAGAATTCTTTACAGCAGTGAAATAAATGAGTCACAGCTTCCAGCTCCAGCTTGAATGGATCTCACAAACATAACATTAAGCAAGAAGCCAGACACAAAAAGAATACATATGGTAGTACTCCACTTATATAAAGTTGAAAAACATGCAAGCCCGCTGCTAGAAGTTAAGGTAGTGGCTTCATGTGGCGAGGAAGAAGAAAGGTGATTAGGAAGAGAACTAGGGCTTTAGGATGCTTCTGGGTCATGTTCTGCTTCTTGACCTGGGTGGTTACATGGATGCGTTCACTTCATGAGCATTCATTGAGCCATACAAGCAAATGTGCGTACTTTTTGTATCTTTGTAAGGCTTCAGTAAGATTTTTAAAAAATAACATGGTTGTGACACTGTTTCTTATCAAATGTTTCTTTCCTATTGGTCTCATCCCTGTAAGATAAGCCCTTGAGGACAAGAGTCGTGTCTTACTTATCTATGGATCTCCAGAGTGGGTGCTCAATAAATGTCAAAAAGATTCAGTCCTTACAACTACTTACAAGATAGCCAGGGCTGCCACATAGGGTTTCTCAGGATGTGCACTGCACAACTCCAGAGCTTGTTATCCACACTGCCTCCAGCTCCACGTAAGTAAAGCAATTATTGTCATCTTGTCCAGTGTCATGGATGAGGAAACTCAGGCTGAAAGCCTGAGAGACACATTACAAAGCCAGAGAACAGATCACAAAATTGCCCTGACTCTGCCACTAATTGCAAGTTCAGGGATTTCCCAAACTACTTTTGGGTTTGATATTACTAGAAGGACTCACAGCATCACTGAAAGCTATTCTACTCAGAGTTATAGTGTATTACAGCAAAAGAAAACAGAATAGAAACAGCTAAGGGAAGAAATGCATGGGACAGAATCCAGGAAAGTTCCAAACACAGAGCTTCCAGTTATCTTCTCCCAGGGAGATGTACCCAGCATTACTTTCTCAGTAATGTTGTTTGACAATACACATGGAGTATTGCCAACCAAGGAAGTCTCCAGAGCCTGTATTGGGCTCCATCGCAGAAACATGGTCACTGCCCACGTGGCTGGCCTAAGCCCCCAGCCCCTCTAGAAGTTAAGCTGATACCACATGACTCAAAGACCCCAACATACATCACAATGTTAGACTTTCTGGTGTGGCCCAAAGCCCCCAGGAAAACTTTTATCAGGCATGACATTGCAAGGGCTTAGACATCACCTCTCAAGACCTGAGCACAAAGTCCAGGCCTCTCTTTAGGCAATGTTAACTTATTAACTACACACATATCTAAGGTCACACCTGATGATGGAGACACACCTGGAACTGGAAGTTTCTGGAAAGGTGGCCTAATATAATAGGCTCTAGAATTAGAAAGACTTAGACCCATATCTTGACTCTGCTCCTTATCAGCTCTTTGAGCTTGGGCAAGGCTCTGTTTTTATTGGTAAAACAGAGATAATAGGACAGAGGGTGTAGGGTAATTGTGAGCATTAAATAAAATAATTCAGGTAAAGCACTGAGATAAGTACCCTCCATAAATGGTGGCTATTTTCAAAAACACCTGTTGATTGACAGATCTTTTCTTGCTGTGGGCACCCATGCATTCATTGACCTGGGCATGTTTGTGGTAGACCACCTGATGGCTCCACATGGTCTTAGACTCTTCTGATGGCAGGGCACAGTGTTCCTTAGGGCATGAGTGGTAAGAGATGCTTTCTTTATGGGAAAATAAGTAAAACATGAATTTCTTAGCCAGGCAATAATAACTTCTGGGAAATTGTGAAAGGCAGAACAAGCAGGTTTCGAAGGGTAAAAAGGTAGCACAGCTTACCCTCTTGAAGTCTAGCACCAACAGTGGGTCAGGATTCATTTCACTGCCTCCCCAGCAGCAGAAATTCATGTTCTTGTGCTCTGCCATTGATAGGGTTCAGTGACACTGTTCCCATCTGCTGCATCTTCAGATCAAATTGAACACAGAAAGAGAAGGTAATTGGTTGGACTTTATAATCATCACCTCTACTGGGCTTAGCTCTCACCAAGACACATCTCGTCAGCTTGTGGGTTGGATGTGCCTGAGTCAGGAACCTGCTCCTGGTCCAATCAGCTGTGGCTCAGGAAGCAGCATCCATATGGTAGCAGTGAGGAAATTTGGGATTAAGGAAATGTGGTATGCAGCCTCTACAATGGCCCCAGTGGACCCTACCTCCTTGTATTCACACCCTTATACAATCCCTTCCCTTGAGTGTGGATGGGACTTTTTGACTTGCTTCAGTGATGGTATGTCACTTCCAAGGTTAGGTTATGAATGACTCTGGCTTGCAACTTGATTACTTTCTCTTGCTCTCTTTTTTTTTGGAGACTGAATTTTGCTCCTGTTGCCCAGACTGGAGTACAATGGCATAATCTCAGCTCACTGCAACCTCCACCACCTGGGTTCAAGTGATTCTCCTGCCTCAACCTCCCAAGTAGCTGGGATTACAGGCATGTGCCGACAAGCCCAACTAATTTTCTATTTTTAGTACAGATGGGGTTTCTCCATGTTGGTCAGGCTGGTCTTGAACTCCCGACCTCAGGTGATCTGCCCACCTTGGCCTCCCAAAGTGCTGGGATTACAGGCGTGAGCCCCCATGCCTGGCTTTCTTTTTTTTTTTTTTTTTCGAGACAGAGTCTCATTCTGTCACCCAGCCTGGATGGATTGAGTGGTGTGATCTCAGCTTACTGCAACCTCCACCTCCTGGGTTCAAGTGATTCTTGTGCCTCAGCCTCCCAAGCAACTGGGACTACAGGTCTGTACCACCACACCCAGATGATTACACATATATATTTTAAATTATATATATATATATATATATATATAATATATATTATATATTTTAATATATTTATAAATATATATAATTATATATATATTACATATATATATATATATATATATATATTTAGTAGAGGCAGGGTTTTGCCATGTTGGCCAGGGTGGTTTTGGATTCCTGGCCTCAAGTGATCTGACTGCCTCAGCCTTCCAAAGTGCTGGGGTTACAGGCATGAGCCACCATGCCTGACCTCTTGCTCTCTATCTGATTACTCTTTCTGGGGTTTCAGCCGTCATGTCATGGAGGCAGTCCACATGAATGAGTTTGGAAGCAGATCTTTGGAGGCCTCCTAACAGCCACTTGAGTGGACTGTGAAGCAGCTCTTCTCCCTTTGAGCCTTCAGATGAGACTGCAGCCCTGGCCAGAGACCTTGAGCCAGAAGCACCAGCTAAACCAAGTCAGATTCCTAACCCATAGCAACTGTGAGGTAATTGATACTTTGTTTTAAATGGCTAGGTTTGGGGTAATCTCTAAGTCACTCATAGATCAATACTACAGGAATCACCTCATACTGCTGCCCTTAGCAGGGATTTGTGGGAGCAGTTCAGCCTGTGCAGTTCACACATCCATGAGAAAGCATAAGAGTAGCTCAGATTTAAAACAGTGACTCCCTGAAGGCAGTGTCCTGCCACAGAGGACAGGAACGGGCTTGGTGTGCAATCCACATTTGTCAGTTAGAGAGCAGTGCCTTCACTGTAGAAGAAGACAGGTGACAGTGACAGTATGTCAGAACAGTCACATGTAGACACCCCTCTCACAATGAGAAATAAAGCTCTTGTTGGCTGAGATCCCTACACATTCCATATATGCAAATCAGGACATGGATTCCTTGCCAGCAAGAGTTCAGATGGACCCTTCTTTCCTTTTAAGTATAGCAACCAGCCGTTTCTTGATCCTTTTCAAACCATAGGATGGTTACTCACATTTCTTGGAGCGGTTGTTCTAAGAAATGATTCCAAAGGATGGAAACAAGTGAGTTCTGAGAAGTCACATCTCATTTTGTTTGCTAGGGGGCTATCTAGACATCACTGTTCTGACAGTCAGCTCCAAGCCTGGCCCACTCAGTCAGGTAACAGACACCTGACATTGTTGTGTCCATTCAGCTGTCCCTCCTACAACCCAGCTTGGGGGAGCATGCATTTTTCCTAATATTTTCACACTGGGATAAGTTTGTTAAAAGATTTTATGGTTATGTGATTGTATAATCGAATCGACCACTTGCTTTCATAAGGATATCTCCAACTCTACAACATGTATCATAGCACCTCTGCTAGCTAGCATTTTCAAAGGAGAGATTTGGTCTCATGCATCCTCTGACACATTGGACACAAAGACAGGTGGTCACATGTGCTCCTCAGACTCATGCAAGGAGCATGTGTAGAAATATGCTTGTTGCCACAGTTCACTCAGACGTGCCAAGAAAATGTAGCTTTTAAATTTCTCATAACTGATCTCTTTATCAGCAGCCCCCATCCCACTGGGTAACTACTAAGAGAAATAAAATTGATATTTGCTCAGTGTATGGTTTCACAGCTTACTTTGCCAGAGATAGTCCTGCTTCTAGATCACTCAGACTCTTTCTGGTTTCAAGTTCAGTTGTTCAGATTTCCTCCACTGCTGATTCCTTTCTAGGATGGTGCATGGGAAGGTGGAGAGTCTTCAGGATTTGGTGGTAGCAGAGATGGGGGACCTGGAACGTTTGTTTAATCATTCCTCAAAAATGTTGATTGAACCCCTACTGTGTACTGGATGCATTCTGGGTGCTGAATACACAGCAGTGAAGAAAACAATGTCCTCACTCTCTGGCCTCACGGATCTTACATTCTTCTGGATGTGCTATGGACAATAAATAGACAAAAAATATGCAGTATGTTGGGGAGATGAGCAATACGGGGGGTGGAGAAGCAGGCTAAGGGAAATAGGGCATGCACGGTGAGACCATCGTTATTCAGGGAAGTCCCCATTAGTAAGAAGCCATTTGAAGCTAAGTCCCGAAGAAAGTGAAGGTCTGAATCCCGGGAAGGGTCTTCCAGATGTGGAGATAATCAAGTGCAAGAGCCCTCAGGCAAGAGCATGTGTGATGCTGGAGGAAGAGCATGGAGTTCCAGCTGGCTGAACGGGAGCAGGTGAACAGGAGAGGCATCAGGCAAGCCAGGCTGGTGGGCCTGGTGGACCATGGGAAGGAGTTTTTCTTTTACTCTAAATGAGATGAGAAGACATTGGAGGATTCTGTGTCAAGTGCATGTTGGAAGTCTCACTGTAGCCGCTGTGTGGAGAATAGACTGTAGAGAGCAAGGGTGAGAGAAGAAAGGTGAGTCAGGAGGCAACTGCAAAATCCTGGGGTAGATGACAGGGTACAGGCCAGGTCAGCAGCACTGGGGCTGGAGTAGGCAAGGATCTTTACTAACGGCAGGGGAGAAAAGGAGATCACGTATGCTCCGTGGGATTTTGTTGAACAACTAGAAGACTGGTGTTTCCATGTAGAAAAAGGGAAGACTGAGAGGAGGGGTTTTCCAGGGGGAGAAGAGGTCAGGGAGTTCAGTTTTGAATACCTTTTTTTTTCCAAGACGGAGTCCCCCTCTGTCACCCAGGCTGGAGTTCAGTGGCACGATCTCGGTTCACTGCAACCTCTGCCTCCCAGGTTCAAGTGATTCTCCTGCCCCAGTCTCTTGAGTAGCTGGAATTACAGGCATGTGCCACCATGCCTGGCTAATTTCTGTATTTTTAATAGAGATGGGCTTTCACCATGTTAGCCAGGCTGGTCTCTAACTCTTAACTTCAGGGGATCTGCCAGTCTCACTCTCTCAAAGTGCTTGAGCCACCCAGCTCAGTTTTGGGTGGGTCCCTCCCTCCCTTCTTCATTCTCTCCCTCCCTCCTTCTTCCCTCCTTCCTTCCTTTCGAGTGTCACTCTGTCACCCAGGCTGGAGTGCAGTGGCGTGATCTCAGCTCACTATATCCTCTGCTTCCCAGGTTCAACCCATTCTCCTGTCTCAGCCTCCTGAGTAGCTGGGACTACAGGTGTGCACTACCATGCCTGGCTAATTTTTGTGTTTTTGGCAGAGACAGGGTTTCACCATGTTGGTCAGGCTGGTCTCAAACTCCTGACCTCAGGTGATCAACCTGCCTCTGCCTCCCAAAGTGCTGTGATTACAGGTGTGTTCCACCATGCCCAGTGGATACTTTTATTTTGTAAGTAGAAATGGTGAGGAAAGAGCTGGTTTTAACAATCTGGTGTTCAAGGAAGAGCTAGGACTGGAGATGTGCAGGTGAGATTTGCAGTGCACGGGCAGTGTTTAAAGCTGTGACACTGGATTATATCACTAAGACAGGGAGTTACGAAGTCCAGAGTTCAGATACAAAGAAGAATAAAGAATACAAAGGAATAAAGGATCATCAGCAGAAAGGACTGAGAAGTGTGGCAGGGCCCGGCCATGAGCCCTGGTCTCGAAGTCTCCGCCCTTAACAGTCCCTTTTTCCTGACCACAAGCCTCTGTGGGCTCCCAGCCCTCTCGGCATCCTCTCTGGGCCTGGTAAGATCATCTGAGCCCTCTGTTCTTCCTGAGCCAGCCATGGAGAGCTGGGAGTACTGCTCCAGGCTCCCTCATCCAACCACTTCCTCAGCAGATGCCTTATGACTGCCTCTTTTCACCCTGGAGAGGTGGGACTTTGGTTGGGAATGGGGAGCTTCCTCTAAGGTATGCCTAGGTACATGTGACACAAGCACACCCTTCACTTTAATTTGCAGATTCCCCACCTCACTCCCCTGTTCTTCACCTATGAGCATGTATGCACACACACCACACACACACACACACACACACACACACACACACACACACCCCTGAGTGTCTGACCCTAGGAATTAGAATCTATGTGATCTCTTGTCCCTGCTCTGTCTCTTCTTACTCCTCATATGCTTCATTCTAGCATTCAACGAGATGGGACTTCTCTCTGACACGGACCTTCCTTTTCTAAAATTCACCCCTCTATCCAGCCAGGTAGGGCACTCAGTGGGTTAAAGGAGAAGATCTAGAATTTAGAAATCCCTGTTCTCTTTCCACAAAGCCTAGCTCTCAAGAGAAAGCTCCTGATTAAGTGGTCAAGCAAGTGAGATTTAACACCAAAAGGTGCTTGGTCACCTCTTAGTTCTCCATGGCTCTCACCTTCTCCTTCCCTGGGACAATAGACACAATGGCTCAAACTTGGAGGGAAAGAGCTGAAAAGAATATGGGTTAAGGCAGAAACAGGCCAAGTACGGTGGCTCAAACCTGTAATTGCAGCACTTCGGGAGGCCAAGGTAGGTGGATCACTTGAGGCCAGGATTTCAAGACCAGCCTAGGCAACATTGCAAAACTCTCTCTACTAAAAATACAAAAAATTAGCTGGGAGTGGTAGTGCACACCTGTAATCCCAACAACTCGGGAGGCCCAGGCATGAGAATTGTTTGAACCCCAGAAGCAGAGGTTGTGGTGAGTCAAGATCACGCCACTGCACTCCAGCCTGGGCAACAAAGCAAGACTCTGGCTCAAAAAAAGGGGGGGTGGGAGAAATGAAAATGTATCATTTTAATATTTTAATAATAAAAATATGATTCTCTTCCCAACTCAACCCTCTGCACCCAGATAACAACCCTCTTTCCCTTTCACTCTCTACACACCTAAGAGAGAGGGTAAAGAGGGAAATTCTGAATGGAAAACTTTATAGGCCATTGGCTGGGCAAGTGGGGCAGAGACTGAGCGAGGGCTGAGAGGAAAAGGAGCAGAGAGTGGACAGCAGGAGAGGGTAGATGAAATCAGTGGACAATCTGAGCTGTGAATGGAGGGCAAGGGGGAAGAGTCTCAGAGGCCTTCTCCTTGGTTTTCAGCAGGCTGGGGATGGGTTGCAGAAGGAGAGAGGGCATATGTTTAGCATGCAA